AAATACGGACTGCGCCCGAGGAATCGCATCGGAACAGTGTAAGCGTTCAAGCAAACCACTTCTGAAGATGCAAGCCACTCGTGCTTGCGAAACGTCCGAAAGAAATTCCATTTTACGACGGCCTAAAAACCCATTAGTTTCATGGAATGGCCTCGAAAGTCTATCTCTTATTGAATTGGTTCCTCCTAGATTTTAATTGTAACGATGAGTCTTTAATTGTCATACTTGTGATAATCGCTTCTTTAATAAAAAAAAACCGCTTAATAATGAACACTGATTTTTTTTCAAAAAAACTAAAACAGCATTAAAAATACTAAAAGTGCAATGAAAATCAGGTCCAGGGCAGTTAGGCAATGCCCTTGCAACACTTTGGCGGTTTGACGCAATGCTGCAGACAAGAACAGGCATATTCCGACGCGAGAGAAACGCAGCTGGAGCGATCAATTTGTCTCGCTTTGTTTATTGCGCTGTGCGGCCGCACCGACAAGGACAGGTATAGACAAATTTGCTGTGTGCATTCTGGCGGCGCCGAACTCGCCCAGAAGAAAACAGGAAAAACATTTAAATCCCACAACCAATTAAATTGACTTATAAAAAAGGTTGGGTCCTAGTTAAACACAAATCAAATAAATTGCAGGATCAGGTCTAACATAAACATCAAGTTTCATCAACAGAGATAGACTTTCGAGGCCATTCCTTGAAACTAATGGGTTTTTCGGGTTTTTAGGCCGTCGTAAAACTGAATTTCTTCCTGACGTTTCACAACCACTTCTGAAGATGCAAGCCACTCGTGCTTGTGAAACGTCAGGAAGAAATTCCACCGAACGACGGCCTAAAAACCCGAAAAACCCATTAGTTTCATGATTTGTGTTCTTTGATCAACGTTGACCTATAAATAAACGTTTCCAGTCAAGCAGTGGAATAAAAAATCATAACCTATAATCCGAGCAAGCAGCGACTTGAAAGTTTCAAAATCTATAGAATGCAAGCAATTCTCCAAATGCTCAAAATGTGGTTTGATTTGAGGCAAATCCCAATTTTTCAGGATTTTTGTTTCACGATACGAAGTGATTTGAATGAAGGGCAAGTAGCTACTTGAAATGATCACAATCCATTAAAAACTCTAGATGTTTTTCACGGGAAAATATCTCAAAACGGTGAGAGACATCGACTTGAAACACATTCTCTATTTAGAAAATCGCAATTCAGAAAAGTGCATTGAAAAAACTTGACATGATCGCACAAATAAATCAATGACGGCACATTTTGTATAGGAAATATATGGCTACTCACCTTTGGAAGGACGCAGTGAGCTGATCCAACTTCTTGGAAAGAGCTGAAGCCGACGTGGGAGAACATTCCTCCAAAAAGTGCAGCACCAGCTTGGAATCCTCCAGCACTTCTTTCTCCTGGGGCTTCAGCGACACCGCCTCAGAATGCAGGGCCTGCAATAGACCACAATTTCCTCAAAACCCCTCACTCACAGCTCGAAGGACACCGAAACTCAAGCAAAAGATATAAACTTCAATCTACCTCAACTTCGTTCTTCGCAGCGATCACATGGTCGCGGTTTCGCACCACTTGATCGATGTGTTTGGCGCGCTCCTCAATTCCACTCACGCCACTCTCGAATCGCTGCCATTTTTCCTCAAAGCTCGCCCACACTTCGGCTAGTTTTGTTAAAGTGTCTCTGCGTCCCTCTAGGTTGGACACCAATGAGGACCAATCTTTGGTTGCCTGCGAAAAGGACCAGAATAAGGATGAAGTGCGCCAGAAAATAATGAGTAAATCCTCACTAGTGAACAATATGTGCTCAAATGATGACTTTTTTCATCGCAATTTTCGCGTAAATTAGCCAGAAAGTTGGACAAACGAGGCGAAAAACCCATGTAACTATTTTCAATTTAGTCTGCCCAAGGATTTTGCGTCCATATTTGCAAAAACTGACTTTTTGTAAACTGCAGGGCACCAAGCCGACGCAAGTAAATAAAACTAATACTGCCATTCAGGAACGCATTTGGCATCGGTTGTCTCACTCGCACCCACGTGTCAACGAGAGATTTAGGATTCCCCACGCGAAGCTTCGTTCCAAATTGATACCTTTAGCGCTAAAAAACTGCAGTTTCAAATGAGGCAGTTTGGGAAAATGTATTTGCGCCCATAAATAGTGAAAGTCTGAACAGGATAATTGGCGATTTTTCAAAATCCTCAAAATTGAATTTTTCCAGTCCCAACTGAAATCATCTGCGCCTCTGTTTCAACACTTCCACCCCAATAGATTGAGTGTTTCGTCGATTTTGGGCGAAAAAATGACCATTTCTCACCTCTCCAGCTTGCTGTTGAATGTTCTTCCGATTGCTCTCGTCGGCTCGCTTGGATATTTCGGCCGCCCGTTCTTCAAGCAGATCTAAATCGGTCGCTTGATTCTGGAAAATTCAATTACAAGTTAGCACAATTGGGTGACGCAATTGATTAGTAAAATCTAGAAGCCTACTTAAAGCTGAATAATTGTCAACGTTGCGGCCTTGCTTTTAACGATTATTTCGCTACCGGATATTCTAAGGCTTGTTTGGGTGATTAATGAACGCATCTGGCCGGCAATAACTAAAGTTGTGTTATTCATAACGATCCACTGTGATCGGAAGGAAAATGCGAATGATATTCCACTCTTTCAGTTTTAGTAGCAGATAAATAAGCGAGTTCTAACTGGGAAAAGTTGTGGTTTCAAGCTCGCTTTTTAACTAATTGTGTATATTTTCCTGACTAAGAAATTCCTGGGTTCCAGTCAATTTTATTGTTTACCATTTAAAATGTCACAAAAACGTTTCGGTGTTTTTCTCCACCATCATCAGTTTGTAT